TCCTGTTGCCTTCCGAGGCCTCCTGGCGCTTCCTGTTGCCTCCTGGGGCCTCCTGTGGTTTCCTGAGGCCTTCTGGAGCTTCCTGGGGCCTCCTGGAGCCTCTTGGGACATCCTGTAGCCTCTTGAGTCTTTCTGTGGCCTCCTGATGCCTCCTGGGACCTCATGTGGTCTCCTGGGGCCTCCTGGAGCCTGTGGGAGCCTCCTGTGGCATCCTGAGAAGAATCTGCGCCCACGAGCCTGGCCACCAAAACAAGCAAACCGCTCGAGACATCCTCAAAATCTGGCCCACCTGGGAGGTCAAAATGAGCGCCTCGCTCGAGACATCCTCCAAATCTGCTCCGAAAACGAAAGATGCTGGCACAGAAAACAAGCAAACCGCTCGAGACATCCCCACAAAATTCCGCGAACGGGACCCCGTGAAATACCCCCCCGCCGCCCCCCTTAGAGTGCTGAGACGAGCGAATCGCCTGAGACATCCTCCAAATCTGCTCCGAAAACGAAACATGTTGGATCAGAAAATGGCCAAACCGCCTGAGACATCCCCACAAAATTCCGCGAACGGGACCCCGTGAAATACCCCCCCGCCGCCCCCCTTAGATTGCTGAGACGAGCGAATCGCCTGAGTCTGAGTGATGACTGAGTCTGAGTGATGAGAGAGCATGAGTGAGTCTGAGTGATGAGTAAATCTGAGTGGTGAGTCTGAGTGATGAGTGGTGAGTGATGGGTGTGGTGTTCTGTCCTGTTCTGTGTCCTTCCGGCGCGGTCCGCCAATAACAAGAACCCCATCTTTGGATATGGGGAATAATACTAAGAAGAACAATACTTCATAATGATATTAGTAATATTAATTATTCACTGCGTGGAGCTCCCATATGTGCATCTATTCGCATGGACCTGTCCGCCGTGAATGTCTAGGCGCAAGAGCTTTCGAATATAAACGGGCTTCAGTTGTGACGGTCTGGACATGAATCTAACTGCAAATGAATTGGAGTGTGATTGAGCCTCAGTAGTGCGAGCGCGTCTCTGCGCATGAGCCTGGGGCCTCCTGGGGCCTCCTGAAACCTACTGGGGCTTCCTGAGGTCTCAAGGAGCCTCTTGGGGCCTCCTGGGACCTCCTAGGGAGGTTTCGTGCCCCAGGAGAGGCCCAATATATGGTCCCGGGCTCCGGGCCCACGGCCCCCCCCCCTCCCCCCCAGATGGTATGGTCCCAGGATTCCTCGGGCCCCCCCAGATGGTATGGTCCCAGAGACGACGACGACGACGACGACGACGACGACGACGACGACGACGACGACAGCGACGACTACGACGACGACGACGGCGACGACGACGACGACGACGACGACGACCACGACGACGACGACGACGGCTGCGGCGGCGACGACGCCGGCGGCGGCGGCGACGACGACGATGACGACGATGACGACGGCGACGACGACGATATGACGACGACGACGACGACGACGACGACGACGACGACGACGACGACGACGACGACGACGACGACGACGACGACAACGAGGACGACGAGGACGACGAGGACAACGAGGACGACGGCGACGACGACGACGACCTCTGAACCACCACAGCACCACACCACATCCACAGGGGGGGGGAGGGGGGCACCGCAGCGCAGCACCACGCCACGCCCACCTCTGAACCACCACAGCACCACACCACATCCACAGGGGGGAGGGGGGGGCACCGCAGCGCAGCACCACGCCACGCCCACAGGGGGGGGCGGGGGGGACCATCGCGCGGGGGGGGGACCCAATGGCATCAGCATTGGGGGGGGGCCCAAGCCCTGGACCATATATAGCAACAGACGTACATAAAACATTGCGGATTAGGGCTACATGAGAAGGGCAATATATAGGAACACACGTAAAACACCAAGGTGTCGTGCCCCAGGAGAGGCCCAATATATATAGGAAATTAAATAAAACATGTAGAATTGTGCACACAGGAGAAGGACAATCTATAGAAACATACGTGTAACATCAAAGAATCGTGCTCCAGGTGAGGCCCAATCGATAGGAGCATACGTAAAACACATGGGATTGGAGCCACTCCTGTTGCCTTCTGAGGCCTCCTGCTCCTGGGGCCTCTCGGGGCCTCCTGTTGCCTTCCGAGGCCTCCTGGCGCTTCCTGTTGCCTCCTGGGGCCTCCTGTGGTTTCCTGAGGCCTTCTGGAGCTTCCTGGGGCCTCCTGGAGCCTCTTGGGACATCCTGTAGCCTCTTGAGTCTTTCTGTGGCCTCCTGATGCCTCCTGGGACCTCATGTGGTCTCCTGGGGCCTCCTGGAGCCTGTGGAGCCTCCTGTGGCATCCTGAGAAGAATCTGCGCCCACGAGCCTGGCCACCAAAACAGGCAAACCGATCGAGACATCCTCAAAATCTGGCCCACCTGGTACGTGAAAATGAGCGCCTCGCTCGAGACATCCTCCAAATCTGCTCCGAAAGCGAAGGATGCTGGGACCGAAAACAAGCAAACCGCTCGAGA